CTGCAATTTAATGAAATATGATAATTAATATATGCACTAAAATTCGAAGAAAAGTTCAAACTGAATACTTTTAAAACATTTTTTCATTATCTTATATTTCATACTCAAATTCATATTATCCTTTACTTTCTTCAAAAACCTTTTAATATATAATTCATTTAATTTTATAGCCTTAGATAATCATCACAATTGAGAAGTACAAATAAGAAAATATAATCATATATATAAAGATAAAAAGATCAAAATGTGGAGGCTTGATTTAAAATAATCTTTTAACATATGGTATATACTACATATAATATTGAAATAGTAACGTTGAGCAATGAAAGTTAAAGCAATGATTTTGATAAAGATATCATTGTGATAATTAAATAATCTAATCAATTTCTAACAAAGTACCCAATTAAAATAAAAATATACAAATAGAATGTAAATTATAAAAGAATTATACTAAAAGTAACCTTTACAATACGAAAACCAAATTGAAAACTAAAATTAGGAAAGGAAATTCATGTTTTGTTTTATCTAAAAAAATAAAATTTTATTATAATCTTAAATTCATTTTTAAAGAAAACCAAATAAAAAAAGAAAAAGTTTTTGCAAATATTGCAAAAAATTAAAAGAAAAAACTATTCAGACAAACTTATCATGTTCAATTTAGCGATTAATTATAATGAACACACTATCATATAATGTGCAAGTAATAATATAAAACAAAAGGGCTTATGCATATAAAAATAAAAATTTCAAAAAGACATATAACAAATCAAATAGGCACTTGCAACAGATTAAAAGAAAATTTCAAAGAAATCAAGATTAATATGATAATTAACTTGAATATAAAGAAAAAAAGCAAGAAATAAAGAGAAAAGATAGCAAGAAGTAAAAAAGTGTAACATAAAAAAATAATAAATTAAAGTTGATAGTTATTCACATATTTTTACCTTTGAAAATCATGAGTGCTACTGCCTTTTTTTGCATTTTTGAGACTTAATTTGCTCTTGACATCATTTGTCACTACCTTTTACAATTTATTCACTGTTGAGATTAAATATTACAGAGATTTTAATTTTGGATACATCTCAATTGCTGTCATTTATTTTTCTATGATTTGTTTATTTATCTCCTAATTTTTAATTATTTAGTGATAATTTATATTTTTTATCAAGATAAAAAAATATTTGTATAATTTTAAATTAAGATATGTGTGCGATTTAAATTGACATAAGATATTTTTATTTTAAATCATAAAAAAGAGATAAGAAAATCGATAAACCAAAAATGTCAACCATAAATTCTAATTAATTTAAATTTATAAGATTACGTTTTATATTAAATTTATAAAACTATTGATTTAGATTGTATGATTTTGATGGTATATGAATTATATAGTTTTTAAGATTTAACGATTTAACTTTAAAAGCTATATTTGAATTTTGAAATATATAGATAAATGTGAGTTATGAAATTTGTTTTATCTTACTTAAATTTAGGATAATAGTTATATATTATAAAAGATTTGGATAAACATAACTTTCAAATTTTAAAATTTTAAAAATTAAATAATTGATTAAAATTATTTGATAAATAATCAAAATTAAAAAAAATATCTTATTTATCATTTAGATAGAGTGTACGTATAAATCTTAAGAAAATTTATCTAGTTGTATATTTAAAATTATTCTATGTGTCATTAAAATAGATTGTACACATAAGATTACACAAAGCAAATCTTATCAAGTTTTTATGTATGTTGTAATATAATATTATATATAATTAGTAGTACATTGTCGTTAAGTGTGATCCGATTTAATTCTATATTTAAACCCATAATTGGATGAATCAATTTTAACTAATATGTTAGAAAAGATCCATGCTCTCACCTCTATATATATGAGATCGACTCATTAAATTTCATAACTTCACTTTCTACAAGGAAAGAGTAGTTCTCTCTCCTCTTCTATACAAGTGGTCATTTAGAGCCCAAAAGGTGGCATCATAAAGCATAAGACGACATCAATACTTATGTGGATCTTGATTAAGTAAGATTGAACTCTCATCCGCATCCAATCAGTTTTAGTTTTAGTTTTAGTTATAAATTTATTAGAGATTTAGTGAGATTTCAAGCAAATCCAATAGTTGATATTAGAGCCAAACTCATTGTGAAAGTCAATAACCATTGCTAATTGAGTGGGTGTCACCATTAAAGCTTCCAACGAAGCTTTTGGTTTTGAGCTTTTTAAACCCATCTTGTTTTTGGTGTTTTAGGGCTTTAAATTATAATTTTATTGTTACAGAACTTGAAAAGGATTGAAATATGATTTTATCGATCCAAAACACTACGAAAATGATGAAATTTGGGGTAAATCGCGTTGGGTCAAACAACCATAATCATAAAAAACCGAGTTAAGAAAAAGATTATATACACCAGACGCAGTGCGTCTGGTTACATTTGACGTGTGCATAGGTTTATCCCAAGTATGTGTTACAAGCACTTGTATATTGACTTTTGGCACATGTTACAAGCACCACACGTACACTAATCGGTACATGTAACACATGCATTAATCTAAAAATTAAAAAAATAGGGTAAAAATTTCATTTATACCCTTATGTTTTGACTTAACATTGAAATAAATAATCCTGAATCTACTGATATTCCTATAGTTCTCCCACTATTTAGCTTCATTGGGTATTCAATAGTAAAGGTGTAAATAATAGATTAGTACTCGTAAGCTACTCAGATTCAATTCGATTAAAACTGAAATTTAACTCGATAATTGTCGAGTCGAGCTGAGCTCGAACTCAAGTAGCTCAACTTATCGAATGAGTCGAGTTCGAGCATATTAGTACTCGTTTCGAATAAATCACGAGCCTAATCAAACTTTTTTTATTATATATTTTTTTATTATTTTATTTATAAAATTACCATCTTACCTTTAGTATAAAAAACCTTAAAAATTTTATTTTCTTCTTTCCTTCTTTTCTTTACCACTTTCTCCTCGTCTCTTCCATCTCACCAAAAAACCCTTTGCGATGCCCTTTCCTCCCACTGCACTCTCTTTCAATCTTTCAAAGTTGGTTTAAACCAAAGCCAACTCAAATCTAAGACAAATCAAAGTTGAAAAATCCAAGACAAATCAAATAAAACCATAATCACCTTCTTGTTAGTCTTTCCATTTTACTTTTTTTGTTTGTCTCTCACATGCTCTCTCTGCTGCTTCACCTTTTCCGTCCCATAAGATTCTTATCAATGCTTTAAATCATTCGTTTTTATTATTATTATTATTATTATTATTATTATTATTATTATTATTATTATTATTATTATTCGATCCTTTTCAAAAACCCTAAATTTATTTATTCATTTATTTTTTTTCAAAGATTTGCTGGTGCAATAGGAGTTTGGTTTAAAGAGAGGCTTGAATCAAATTCTGAGATAAATTTCAAGTGTATGATATTTTATCTCCTATTTGTCTGTTGAGAAAATGTGAAAAAATGAAAAATAAACAAGAAAATGCTTGTTTTTCTTTGCATAATTTTGTTTTGCATGTCAAAAATTTCTATCTCTGAAACATATAAGCAGGAATATTAATGTTGATTGAATTTGTTGATTTTGATTCTCTGATTTCTCATCCTAATTGCATTGTTGTTTTGTTAATAGCCACATTGTTGATTTGACTAATGCTGCTACTCTAAAAATGGTGAATTTTCCTTTCTTTTTGTTTTTAAAGGCTCAATTAAATTGATGCTCATTAGGAGTTAAAGGCAAATTTCTTGGACAAAATAGGGTTTGATAACGAATGCATACTGAATATCCAATCTCTAGCCGAAAAGTACTTCTATCCTCTTTGTCGTCTACTTGTTTACCCAAATGAAGCATTACAATCACAATGCACCCATCTTTACTACAAACCTGTTTAACCCATCATAACAAGAGAAATCTTTTTGATTTTCTTGATAATAATAATTGAGAAAGTGACATAATAAACTTTTTTTTTCTTTTTTTTGGTTTTAGCTAAGTGAAATGTCTTTTGAAATGTACTATACTAGTCTAGATTAAGCTTTTTGCATTATAGTTTATGAACCATAGGTTAACTAATGACAGAAACTTATGTTAAAGCAATTGATAAGACACTGTCTATATTTTTCTGTTTTGATTATAAAGCAATTGACAAAATACAATCCATATTTATGCTAATGTTAAAAGTTTAAAATTGCCGATCATTGTAATAATAGCACAATCTTTTTTTTACATGGGTGCTTCTACTATTATTCTTATTGCTAATTATAATTTGTTTGTTTTGTAATTATTCTTTTGTGTAGGTTTGTTGGAAAACAATATGAGCCTAATGTTCATTTGAAGACATAATATGTGAAAGCAATATATATATTATTGTTAGTTTGTTGTAACATATTTGTGGACTTATTTGCTTGGATGTTTAATTTCTTTCAATTAGGACGTTAATTCCTAAATTTTAGTATGTCTTTTATTTGTGTGTTGTATTTGAATCATTTGATGAAACTTTTATTTGCTTGAATTTGATTGTTGGATAAGTTATTAGTATTATTATTGTTGTTGTTGCTGCTATTATTATTGTTATTATCTTGAAAATATATAATATTTATTAGGTTTGATAAAAAATAATTGTAAAAAATCTCGAACTCAAGAGCTCAAGTACAAATAATCGAGTTTTTATCAAGTATCGTATTAATCAAACTTAATCGAACAAACTTGAATAGTTCGATTTCGATCACGAATCGAGTTCGCGCTAAAAAAATTAAACTCGATCGAGTTCAAGCTGAATGTCGAGTCGCAAGTTGAGAATCAAACTCAAGCTCGAGTTTCTCACAGTATCGACTCAACTCGACTCAATTACACCCCTATTCAATTTATTTCCAAAAAAATAAAGAGGATTGTTCCAGGCATCATTCTTTCATGAAGATGGAAACCCGTTTGATAATGAACAACATTGATCTTGTCTTCAGTATATAGGCTAGAAGGTTTGAGCCTGGTGAAAAGCATCACTAAATTTGAACACTCCACACAATAAAACACAAAATTATGAGCAGTGGAATGTGGTTAACAATCTCTAAAAATTGTCGTTTGCATGCTGGTAATTCAACAGAAATTAATGAAGTAAAGTGACAATCTAATTGAATAAGCCTTACATTTGCCAGCAATGGCAACCTCTTCTCAAATAAACAATTACCAGGAATGCTCATTTTACAAAGAGCATTGCTGACCTATAAGGTCTCTAATTTATTATATCCTCGTTGTGAGGAACAATCTCTAATGACTGCAAAATGGAATAGGTAAAGCCAAAGTGTTTTTGAAGCCCATTAGGATGCCGTAGATTCCTTCAAATAAGCAATGAGGTCAGCACGTTCTTGTGGCTTCTTCAATCCAGGGAAAACCATTTTTGTTCCAGGGATGTACTGCACAAAAATTTACACAAGTGGGCAATTCTTTCCAGTAAGAATGAACAAGGAATTTGATAATAACAGCAGCCAAATCTGAAACCACAAAAACTAAACTTTCATTCGTAAAATTGTCAGAGGCACAGCACAAAATGACTTGAATACCTTTGAATCTAACATAAAATTCAATTTCTCAATTGAGCACAATTTTTTACAATTCAAAAAAGGAAGTGCTTTGTTGATAACAGCTCACAACTTCCCACGAGTCCTCAGTGTAGCTATTATTTCACTCAACCATAAAAAGGGGAAAAAATATAGTTAAACAAGATTAAGCTTCTATTCTCAATAGCAAAAAAGCACAAAGCATGATCCAAATCACCAGAGGTGGATCCAAAATTTTTTCTTTGGCTGTCCACTTATAATATATACAAAAGATTACCAACGGATTTACTAATTTTGTCTAAAAAGGGTGTTAACGAAATTTCTCCTTCAAATTTTATTGTTTTCCAATTTCCAGTACATGAGCATCTGCCACAGAGGGTCACGTCCCAGACTATGTCTATATGGCAATAAATGAATTGGTACTTATATTTATATAGCACAAAGAGCAAAGAGCAGTCCAACAATACATAAGATTGAGAAGCAAAGAGTACAAGAATACAAATTACGTATAAAATTAATCTGCATCTTGAGGAAAGATATACGATAGCAGAAAATAAAGAAGAAAGTGAGATTTTGAAGAAATGTGTACCTTCTTAGGGTTAAGAAGGTAATCATACAAAGTTTTCTCCTCCCAAATCACAGCCATGTTCTTGTTAGCAGCGGAGTATGAGTACCCTGGAGTTGTACCCGATTGTCTTCCAAACAGACCGTTAAGATTTGGTCCTGACAAACAAAATGAACTGAAACTGATCCCACATATTTCGATTGCATCTTAATCATAATCATATTATATTGATTCCACAGAAGAACTCAAACTTTCAATAAAATAAAAATAAAATTCTTCAAGTCAAGCTATTTAGATCTATGAAATTCAGAAAAAAGAACTGGTATATTTAGATCTAAAAGAAAGGAGAAGAAAAGAAAAGAGGAAGGGTAGCAACCAACCTTGCTTATGACCAGCACCTTTGTCGACGGTGTGGCACTGGGCACACTTGGTCTTGAAAATCTTCCCTCCGGCCTTTGCGTCACCAGGCGGTGCTTGCTCAAACGACGCCATCTTCGCTTTTACGTTTCTTTCTTTTGTTTTTTTGGGTTGAAGGAAGAAAGGACTGACAACGAAGAGAAGAGGAGAACAAAAGGGTAGGCTGCAGGTAGAGGCAAAAGCGACAGAGAAAATGATTTTTTTTTCAGAGCTTTCCCAGAATATTCCAGAGAGGAAGGAAAGGAAGGAGCGTGGCGTACCTGTGCCAATGCCACACTTCTAACAACCCCGATATTTCCACATGGCGCATTATTAGCGGTTCATTTGGAGCCCAACCACAACATGTCCTACGTTATATTAGCGATGAGAAAAAAAAATCAAAATTGGGTTCAAAATTAATGGCTTGAATTATGTTGGGCTATGTGGCGGTGTATCACAGACCCAGGCTCTTAATCCCCGATTTAACTTCCACTGGTACAATTTCTTTCGCCTCGAGATTTAAATAATATTTTATTAAAAGAAAGTTTGATGCATGGAAGCTAGCATATGAGATAATAATTAAATCCCATTAATAATTTTTAAAAATTAAAAAACTTTGAACAAATATTGAATGCTTTTAATAATATAATCTTATTTATAACCTCAAAAAATTATTAAAAAACTAAGAAACTTTGATAAAAGTTTATATAAAATACAATAGTTCTATTCCACTATCAATCTTAAAAAATTAAAAGATATTAATAATATTAAAAGCTTTTTATAATTCAACAATCTTAAAAAATTACAAAATAAAATACCTTCTCTTATCAAAATACTAAAATTGTTCTCTTAAATTTGATAAATATTGAATATTAATTAAAAATGTAGTACCTCAATTACATTAAAAATGTTGAAAAATTAAGAACTTTTATAAATATGAAGAGCTTTTAATAATTTAATCCTATTAACAATATTAAAAAATTAACAAAAAAGAATTATTTCTTTTTGTTAAAATACCAAAATCATTTACTTAAATTTTTACAAATCCATACACACACACAAACATACATATATATATATATATATCCCTAAACACTTGTCAACAAATAAAAGCTTGTGATAGCTTCCACTCTTGCCCTAAATCAGTGCTTCGTGGGTCATAGAAGATAAACCAAGTTTGAAGCATTCCACATTAGCGCTAACTTTTAGGTATTAAATCCCTATTACTATTGCAAGCATTGGCTACAAGCAGCTAATTTTTAGTATGGCGTTTTAATTTTTGGAATTTTTTCTCGTACCAAGTTGATTTGAAATCTTTATTCTAAATGAAGGCTTGCATACACTTATTTATGTTCAAAATTTTTTTGGGATAAAAACAGACCTTCAACTATAAATTAGGCTCAATTGAGAAGCTTTGAGTATGATAAGAAAATTTTTAATTTTTAATTTTAATTTGATTTGATTTGATTTTATTATTTTTTAAAAAATAAAATTAAAAAAAAATAAAAAGAGAAAATAAGAAGAAAGAAAAAGTGGTACTGTTATGGAATAATTCTCGGTGATTTAGTTCTGAATTTATTGGAATAATTCTTGGTGATTAAATCTCGGATCTGTTAGGTGTATTTCATGCAAAGAATCAAGTATATACAGCCAGCAATAAAGAGCAATGAGTGGAGAGAAATCAAGGGGGATCGGTTTTAGGGCTCATTTCACTAACTTCTCTAGCTAAGAGGAAGGATGAAGAAATAGACCATGAAAAGACAAGATGCCAAGAAAATTTGACTCTGGCATCAGTAGCAGAATTTTTTTTTGCTTCTTGGAAGGAATCGAATGCTAGGCCCATCTTTCTGGAAGCAGATTCTTTTTCAAAAACCCTTTTATTTTGACTTCTGAATTTGCCATGAAGAGCTTTGTTAAATGCAGAGTCATCTGAATACCTAGCATCAGACATTTGTTGAAGGCGAACTAGTACTGGTTCAATTTTTTTCTTCTACAAATCCTTTTTTTGATGTTTAAGATGATAAAATGGATCTGCCAGCTTGTCTTTGTCTTTATCACCAGGAAGTTCTAATCATGCAGACTTCATGGGTTCAATTTCTTGTTCTTGATGAAGCTGATCAGATGCTTTAAGTTCGATTTGCCAAGGATGTCGAAACCAAATTGGAGAGGCTTGCTGCGAATTGTCAAAGCAAGATGTTTTCAGCAACAATGCCTAATTGGATCAAAAGCCTTACCAAGAAGCAATCGAAAAATCCATTAACTATTGATCTGGTTGAAGAATCTGATCAAAAGTTGGTAGAAGGAATTTTCTTATATTCGATTGTAGCAAATATGCATGGAAAAGCATCAATTCTTGGTCTTTTAATGACAGAGCATGCAAAAAGAAGAAATGATAAACCTGAGGTTGAAAAAAACGAATTGGGTTCATCTGCAGCAATGACAACTGCTATAATTGTAGCTTTACTTCATTACCTTGGTGTTGTAAACCTTTTCGCCTTGTCTGAATATTCACACCAACAAAATATGGATTCCACAGATCTCGATGTGGTGCATATGATAGCTCAAAGTGCCCATTGTATTGCACAAGGGAAAGTTGGTAGTGGCTTCGATGTTAGTTCTACAGTCTATGGAAGTTAGCGTTATGTTCAATTTTCACCATAAGTGCTTTCTGGTGCTTAGGATCTAGAAACTTTTATGGGTTTAGGATAAACTTTTCGGATGAAGTTTGAAATTTTTGTTTGAACTCGTGATTCGTGTAAGGATCTGTGCTTCAGACCCAACCTGATCGTAGGTATTCTCTTTCCTTTTTTCGTTTCATTTTTTGTTTTGATTTTATTTTTCTTATTTTATTTCATTTATTTTGTTTATTTTTATTTACTCTTATTATTTCTTATTTTAAATAAAAAACTACATTACTTATTATTATGATTTTTTTCTTTGTACTTATTTATGAAAAATAAAAAAAAAATTTCAAACAAATTCATGAATCCTACCAAACTATTAAAGAATTTTCATGAATTTAAATTTAATGGAATCCACCAAATTATTGAGAAATTCCTTAAGTCATTTTTTCTAAAAAAAATAAATAAATAATAATTTTTATCCTTTAAACTATTGGAGGATTACTTCAAATTAAGTCTTACCAAACTATTGGGAGACTTAATGAAATTCTCAAAAATTTTTTACAAATCTTTTTACAATAAAATTTCACCAACATATTAGGAGATCTGCTTCGAAATAAGTCCTACCAAACTATTAAGAGATTTTACTAATTTTCTTGAATAAAATGAATTAATAAATCTGACGACAGAGCCTTTTCAGAATGGAATACTAATCTCTATGAATACTCTTAAGGTGAGAAGATTATCTTAAGTTGCTACCAAACTATTGGGATAATTTTGAGATTAATTTTTAATATTAAAATTATTTGGTAAAATCATAAAAATGGTCAAGGCTTAAATAATTTGAACCAAACTGGTACTATCCTTTAGATGGACATTGTGGGTGTGCTACAACCTTCCTATGCGTGACCGACTCCCAAACCTAACATCTGTTTTCACATATCAGAATATGTTTCAGGTAGCCAATTACACCTAAACAAAAAAAAAAGATTGGTAGCGACTCCTTTCTAATCCATGTCTAACGATTGGTCTATGAATCTATATGTTATGATAGTATGGTAACTCTACTGGAAATCTTGAGAGTCGGGCCAGTAAATGATTTCTTATTATCTAAGCCTTGCTTAATAAATTTGAAATTTATTTTCTTCGTTTTCATTGCTTATATTTGTTTTATTTATTTATTTATTTATTGTATATATCTGTCATTCATTTGCATGTATATAACATAAGCTCTCCATTCGAGCTCTACTTTTAGGAGGGAATGAAGTACCCTTGCCTTCATGAGATTTCATATCTCCGCATGAGCTTGCGAAACACTTCCACTCAAATTGAACCTTTTTTGCTTATAGCCTATGATGGGTAAGGATTGTGGTGCCTTACTAGTCTGTGATGGACTATGATGTAAGGAACAATTTGGAAACCTTTAAAAGTAATTTAAACCACATATAGTTAACTTTATGAGCTTAACAATAGATAGAGCCATGTCTTTCCACCCTTTATAGTTAACCCTAAATCTAGGGTCATGTTATTATTTTACTTGCTTTGTAGTGTTTATTCTTTATTTTAAGGTGACTAGCCTATTTTCTTGTCTTCTTTTATTTTTTTTCTTTTTATGCATATTCATAAACACACATGTAGATTACATGTTATGCTTACTAATCCTTTTTTATTGTGATACACGCATTCATGCATCATTGCATTCATTCTCATACATAATCTGATAGATCCATAAATATCATTCTAAATTTACACTATAATTATAGGAAATTGAGGTTTAAGGATAGCTTAACACTAGTACTACATTCGAGCTAAAGCTAAAAAATGGAGCAAGACAATGTAGACCAGCTTGAAAGAATAGAAAAAGCTCAGAAAATACTTGAAGAAAAATTGAGCAAAATCTTAAAAGCTTTGGAAAAAGGCAATAGAGGAAAGGCAACAGAAAAATACATCTTTTTTTAATGAGCTACTATATCCTCAGGTTTCAATCATAACAAACTCAGACTATTCCAAGCTTTCATCAACAATAAACCACGTTCTTAAATTTTAATCAAGGAAATGTTTAGAGCTATACAATCCTGTCTTCACTAAAAAGGCAGATGAGCTAATCCAAATTTCCAAAATGGATGAAAGTAAAGAGAAAGTAAAAGTTGCAAATGACTGTACCCTCAAAAGACTCTAAGATCGATCAAGCCAAGAGTATGATTGATGAAAGATTACAGACTATAGAGGGCATTGATTTCTATAGATTCATGAATACTACCAACCTTTGCTGGGTTCTAGATGTTGTGGATTCCTTCAAAATTCAAGGTGCCAAAATTGAAAAGTAATGACGATACTAAATGCCTATTACGCATATCACAATGTATTGTTATAAGATGGCAGCACATACCAACAATGAGAAATTGTTAATGCATGTATTCTAGGATAGCTTAACCGAGTCTGCTACAAGGCGGTATGTCCAGTTAGATAGGGCTTATATTAAGTCATGAAAGGATTTGACTCGATCTTTCATCAACCAATACTATCACATCATAGACATGGCTCTTGATCACCTTTCATTACAAGGCATGAAAAAGAAAACATTTGAGTCTTTCAAAGAATATGCCTAAAGGTGACAAGATATCACTGCTCAAGTCCAGCCACCCTTAACTGAAAAAAAATAATGATTTTATTTGTAAGTACTTTGAAATCACCTTATTATGAAAA